AGAGAGACAGAGACAGAGACAGAGAGAACATGAATCTTACCTGTTCTGTTCCTACATGAATCTTACCTGTTCCTGCTAAGGTCATGACACAGGGATGAGTGAGTTTCTACCTCCCTTCTCTCCTTCACATCTAGCTCTTATCTCTTGTACCAAAAGGGAAGATAGTAAAAAGTCAGCTCTAAGTTGCAGCTGAAATGTTTGAAGAATTAATAAATGCCAGGTAATTAGTTCTTGTAAGTAGTTTTGCTTATAAAACCATACCAGAGGTAGATGACCAATGATGAGACAGAATCCAGGGTTGTATAACCAGAAGGGTGTCTTGTTCAGGACTCGCAAAGAGGAGGTAGAGGGTTTGGGAAGGATGAAGGCCAATAGTTCCATTTCCTCTGTGACAGCCCTGGAATGGGGCCTGAGCCTTAGACCCAGGTCTGAGTTGACAGCAGAGTGTGTGCATATGGCCAAGATTGCCCAAGCTGCTGTCCCAGCTGATTAGGTTATCTGCATATGGGACCCAGGCAAGTGACCTTTTGACCGTTTTAGGATCCGTGTGAGCCTGCTAATTGCTTTAAAGGCCCAGGAGAGACCAACATTTACGTCTGTAGGAGCAGGCACTGTGGTGGCCAGCCTTAGTCTCCCAGTTGGTGGTCCTCAGGAAGTGGCCTGGCTTGGATTGAACAGGAGGCCTCAGGGTTTCTGTGTGTCTAGTCCTTACTTTGGGGGCAGATCATGGCAGAAGGGCCCTTTACCTGCATCCCAAGGGGAGACAGGGCTTACCCCAGCACATGGATAGGGCTTCCCCCAATTCAGAGCCATGTGGATTGTGGCCAGTATAAAGCAGGGCCATCTGCTCAGCATCTCTTCTGATTTCTCTATTTTGACTGTGTTCTCCTTGTGACAGGAGGAAACTCAACTGGGGATGTGCTGAAAAGGGCCGCCAGCTAAATGCAACTCTTGGGCACCTTGTCTCCAAACTCTGAGCCAGCCCTGGGCACTGCAGTGCTGTGCTTGGAAGGAGAGTAGAGAAAGGCTGGCCAGCAGCCTGAGAAGCCAGAGGGGCCAAGCTGCTCTTCCAGCAGGCGATCGCTTGGCTGTCCTTCAAGTGGCCTGAGGGGGGAAGCCTTTCTGAGTGTTGAGAGCTCAGTGCTGATGGGGCTTTTTGCTGAGCGAGGAGCACCCTCGGCCCTACAGTTCTCCCTAAGGCTTCTTGAATCGGTGCCCTGTACAAGCCTAAGGCTTTGGGAGGGGATAGATCAGGAGCTTGGCTTGGGAGAGGAGAGGACTTCAAGAACTAAAGTCACAGCAAGTCACCTTAAGTCACCAGGAAGGCACCTGTATTGCCACAGTCTGGGGCAGTATGAGGTCACCACAGAGAAGGACCAAAAAGAAGACCTTAGCCAACAGGAGGAGGATTAGATGGTAGAAAAGATTGACCTCTCCTCACTTCACGTGGTTCCCAGAGCCCTGAGAAGGAGGGCCATGCCATGGGCTGCCCTCATTAGGAGGAAGGTGCCTATCCTCATCCACACAGCCTGTGCAGGTACAGGCACAGACATCTATCTGCCCCTGGGCACAGGACTCACGCATGTGCACATATCCCTAAACTTGGACCTTTGGGAGTAGGTGGACCCCACGGGCACATGCATGTGTTCATGTGTGTGATTGGTATGTACACATGCACATCAACATGCACAATCATACACATATCCAAGAGCAGATTTGTACTAATGAATAGTGTAGGTTGAGTGTGCAAGTTATAGGCCTGAGACTGAGGCAAACTTGGTCCAAGCCCCACTCCCCACTAGTTAGCTCTGGGAGTTTATGTGGTTTACTTAGCCTTTAGAGGCCTTGCCTTTTTTACCTAGAAAAAACAGTGCTGACTCCAACCCAATGGAGAAGTCCTAAGATTAAATGAGATGAATCAGATAAAGAAGCTGTCACAGAGCACGGCATGCCTTCTGTGGGGTCAGGGTCATATTTAGCTCCTGCAGGCTACTAAGGTGGCCACATCTGGAACCAAGTGAGGCCTTGAGAGTCCCAGCACAGACTCCCTTAAACCCCTAAACCTTCTTCTACATGGGCATAATCAGGCCCCACACCTCTCTATCATGTTGTATTGAAGAAAGACAAAGGTGTGGAAGTTACAGGGTGTGTGTAAAACACAGTCCTTTAGACCTCAGGTACTCTTGCTCTAAGACCTGGCCCCATTCTTCCTCACCCTGAGCAGACCCTGTTGGCTGCACAGTGCTCAGAAACACCAGCAGGTGGCAGCCTTGCATGGTTCAGCCCCTTCCTCTGAGCCCAGGGCCTCAGCTGGCTACCCAGCACAGGAGGCCCATCCTTTCTGCAGATGTGAAGAACAGGAGTCCCTGTCTCCCACCCAGCTAAAGAGAGAAGAGAGAAGGCCACCATGTAGGGAGACAAGTGTTTGGCTCTGAACACAGAAGGTTCTCATCCCAAGGCATTGGCTGATGTTTTGGGGGCAGTTTTCATTTGAGGTTTTCTTCTGTTGATGGAATGAGTAATAATATTTTATAATCTGCCTATAGAAAAGCATTCTCATATCTAGGTGCCCAGTTTACTTGATGCCCAGAGCTTTTCCTTGTTTTCTGCTTTTTAAACAAGAACTGGCAACATGAAGAGTGACCTTGTATGTTTAGGGAGCCCAACCCTAACTGTAAGCCTGGAATGACTGTCACAGCTAAGCCTGCGACCCCCATCCTCTGTGGTGGCCAAACAAACCTTCGATTAAGTCCGTACATGCCTCATGCCCTTCACAGCCCTGGGCTGCTCAGGCCCTTTGCCCAGGAAGCCTCTGATCTCTGTTGGTCCCTTGAATTCTTCAGGAACCAGGTTGGCGAATGCAGTTGCCAGGTGTCGCTGATGCTACAGAACAGCCCTGCCAGCCCGTGCTTGCGGTGAGTGCTCCAGCCGCCAACCCACCTTCCTCCTGGCCCCTCAACCACAGCCCAGCAGCTTGGGATTGTTTTTGTCCTCCAGCTGAGTCTGCCTGTGCCAAAAGGGAGAGCTTGGAAAGGGATTGAGGGAGGAGGCAGAGGAAAGGGGAGGATGATTTTTTTTTTTTTTTGCACACACCCTTATAAGGCTATTGAAGTCATTACCAATGTAATAAACCAACTAAGCAAGAGCTCTCACCAATGTTCCCTTCTATAAACACAGCCTGACTGGCCCCCAGCTCTTTTCCCCCTCCTCTCTACCCTCCGCCCTCAGGGATTTGCTCTCCCTTGACGTTTCTGGCTTACCCAGCCCCTTTTCCTCCTGCTACTTTCTTTTTTCCCTTCACTGGTTGCAGGGGGCGGGAGCCTGCCAGCTGTGAGGGCCTCCGTGGTGGAGGAGTTGGTGCTGATGGTGGCAGTGACTGTGATGGGACCCTGAGGCCTGGCTGGCTAGCAAGAGGGCAGGGTTGGCCAGAGGAGGAAGACGCTGAGGACGTGCGAGGGGTGCTGAAGCGGAGAGTGGAGACCAGGCTGCACACGGAGGAGGCGATCCGCCAGCAGGAGGTGGAGCAGCTAGATTTCCGTGACCTCCTGGGGAAAAAGGTGAGCACCAAGACTGTCTCAGAAGAAGACCTCAAGGAGATCCCAGCTGAGCAGATGGATTTCCGTGCCAACCTGCAGCGGCAAGTGAAGCCAAAGACTGTATCTGAGGAAGAGAGGAAGGTGCACAGTCCCCAACAGGTTGACTTCCGTTCTGTCCTGGCCAAGAAGGGGACTCCTAAGACCCCGGGGCCTGAGAAGGCACCACCTCCAAAACCTGCCACCCCGGATTTCCGCTCAGTGCTGGGCAGCAAGAAGAAATCACCAGCAGAGAATGGCAGCAGCAGTGCTGAGGCCCCAAATGCCAAAGCTCCCGAAAGTCCCGTGCCTGTGGGCAATGCAGAACCTGCAGGAGCCCTCAAACCCACGAGCAATGCCAAGCCTGCTGAGACCCCGAAATCCATGGGCAGCAGCAAGCCTGCCGAGACCCTGAAACCTGTGGGCAACACCCAGCCTGCAGAGACTCCAAAACCCATGAGCAGCACACAACCTTTTGGGTCCCTGAAACCCATAGGTAATGCCAAGCCTGCTGAACCCCTGAAACCCCTGAGCAATGCCAAGCCTGCTGAGACCCTGAAACCATCTGGGAAGGAAGAACTCAAGAAGGAAGTTAAGAATGATGTGAACTACAAGACAGGACATGCAGCAGCCACCGATAAAGAGAAAAGACCAGAGAGCCAAGGGGTGGCCCCAACCTTCACAGAGAAGCTACAAGATGTCCGTGTGGCAGAGGGTGACAAACTGCTAATCCAGTGCCAGGTGTCATCTGACCCCCCAGCTACCATCACATGGACACTGAATGGAAAGACACTCAAGACCACCAAGTTCATCATCCTCTCCCAAGAAGGTAAATCAGGGTGGGAGTCAGGGCCACTGGAAGCTCATGGAGCTTTGGTCTGGTCGATGGCCACTCACAGCCCATAGCCTGAGTCCAAGTGTCTGGCCCCTGCCCCCACTTATGGGATGCCTTCCCTCTCGGGGCCTTGGGTACATGCCCTTGCTGGGAGTGAGGGTTTGGAGTCTGATCTTTTGGCACACATCTGTGTCTTCATGCCTATCTGGCAGGACCCTCTAGTCACTCCCCAGAGCAGATGTGGGCTGGAGCTGGTGCCTGGCCTCCCTGCATGGAGAGGGCTCTGCCTGCAGGCTGGGAAATGGGGGCATGGAGCTAGAGCCTGCCAGGGGCTTGGAGCCAAGAGCAATGAAAGCAGAAGCAGTTTGGGCTTGGGAAAGGTGTACAGTGACAGGGTGCCACAAGGCTGTGAGTTGGCATCACAGACTTAACTTTTAGGGCATTGTGGATTTGAAGGGTCCTGTGGGGAAAGGCAGAAACCCAAAGCAGCCTTGACTGCAAACAGAGCAGACAGCTGCTTGCTTCCTAATTTGGATGAGACTTCAGTTTGCTGCTATTTCACATTCTTGGGTGGGGTTGGGGTTAACTCCTGCTCTCTGTGGCCTTTTGGTGTCTGGAGTTCTCAGATGGGCCAGTTTGTACCTGAAGAAGAGAGGACTGAGAGGAGGCCCCTGTCCTGACCCTTAAGTTGGCTGAAAATGTTCTTGTAAAGCCCAAGTGTGGACAAGAGCTCCGCGACCAGCAGACACCACACCCCCCAACCCTAGGGCCTTTGAGGGATGGATGCTGGCATGAGCTGGAGGCTGGCACCAGAAGCTCTGGCAAGCAGAGGGCACAAAGAAGCTCCCCAGGCAGGAGCATCTGCCCAATGTTGAGTGGCAGAAGGTGGCCACTGCGCAGGCCAGGTGGACAGGTCCCACACATGCATTTCAGCTAGATGTCAGAGCTCTTCCTCTTCCCCCAGGCCATCTTGTGGTCAGAGCCTTCTCCACTTCCTCCTTCCGCCTCATCCTTCCTCTTCAAACCTGGGAGGAAGCATTAAAGATAGCCAGGACCCTGTCCACGGTTCACTGTGCATCTCAGTGGGAATGGCCAAGCGTGTGGAATCTAAATGGTGAGGGGGAAATTGGAGAATTCTCTGAGCACAGGGAAAATTGTTACTTTCTGAAAATGTATTGACACAAGTAACTTTTCCACATGGACATTCCTAGTTTGGCACCTTCCTTTCTGCCCAGCCATGTACGTCTCTGTATGTAGCTACTGCCAGTCAGGCTTTATGGTTTTGGCAGCTTCTCTGATGTCTGTAGGTTGGATGAGCCTCTCTGCTGCTAGTACTGAGGACATTCCGAGAAGAGTTGTGACCACCATCAGTTGGAGCTGACCAGTCACCCATAGAGGGCCAGATACATGAAAGCACCATTCCTCTCCCTAGAGCTGCAGGATGATGGAGCTCAGAGTGACACCTGCTTGGCTGGACCCAGGGCAGGGTCCTCCATGGGGCATCTTCCTCGTGCCTCTGCCTCTGCTGACTCCATCAGTTGATGTCCACACACAGCAGTCCTAGGGGATCACTAACTGGCTGAGATGTCCAGGGCCGTGGATGCCTCTGCCTTCCTTGGATGCCTCTGAATCCTTGTTCAAACTGGTTGGAAGCTTTGGACATGAGCATTTCCCAGGTTACCTTTTCCTGGGGTGACCTTGTGGAGGATGGAAGTTGGGCAGCTGGGACCTTTAGGACATATGTAGGGACATATGAGGTCATGTGATGCACCAGCCTCAGAGAAACAGGTTCTGGTGGGAGAGAAGGATCCCTAAGGCTACTTGTGGGCTGTTAGCCACTGGCTTCTCAAGTAGGTTTATATGCTAGCCACCAGGCATTAAAGGGCATACTGATGCCAGCTACTTCAACACGGAAACTGTCCCAAAGAGAAATGTTAGGGCCATAGCAGCAGCAGCAACAATGATTAAGGGAAGGCCAGCAAGGAAGAAAGACTGGGTGGGATTAGATACAGCCCTAAAGCAGACTTAAGCGATGTTCTAAATATTTTAAATTTCCTTTTAAATTAAGAAAGTTTATATCTGTTAAATACCATGTGCCAGACACTGTCCTAGGATTCTAACATTTTCCATTCACTTAATCCTCTCTTGGCCACTCTACTGTCCCTCTAATAGACAGGTACCTCACCCAAGGCCACACAGGTCGTACATAGCAAAGCTGGTACTGGAACTCAGGTGAATGCGTTCCCATGTCTAGCCAAAATGTTGAAGGTGGTGTGTTCTGGGCTTGTCACATTTCTGGTATTTTCCCTGCTGTGGGGAAGGATAGGGAGTGGACTTTGAAACTGGCCTGTTTTACCACAGTCGAGGGGAGCATGTCTTGTTTCAAATATTAGTCCAATCTTCTGTTGTTGCACTTGCCACTTCTTTAAGAGCCTCTGTTGTTTGTGTTTTATCAACAAGAAAGTGTAACATAACACTTATCAGCTGCTACTTGTGCAAAGGGGAACAGGTCCCCTGTAGGGAGGGGGCTGGGGCTACTGACCTGGACAGAGGATGCAAGCTCACCGTGATAAGACTGTTAGAGCTGAGCATCCTAAGAGCAACAGCAGGAGCTTCTTGGAGCAGGAAGAGGGAAGCTAAGCTCTGGAGCCCCTGGGAAGGCTGGTGGGAAAGCTCCAGCCCCCATCTGAACTCGCAAGGTAGGCGAGGCACAAACCATGGGCTGCTGTGCAGAAGGCAGGCTTTCCATGCAGGAGGCAGCAGCAGGGCAGGTGAGCTGCGCACCGATCGTCTGTGCTGAGGGCTTGCCCTGGTCCTACCCTACATCACCAAGAAACTTGAGTGTAAAAGCAATAGGGAGCCATGTGAGATCTTGGAGTAGGGAGCACTGTACACAAAGCTGGGTGTAGAAGTTTTGTCTGCTTGCAAGACAAGCATGGAACCTGCTGCAAAGGTTGGGGAAAAGGTGGTGAGGCCTGGACTAGCAGGGTGTGTAGGGCCATTGCAAAGAGTCAGCCAGGGCAAGAAGCAAGGACAATCGAGAGCCTCAGCATGCAGGAAAGGCAGGGTGGGATGGGACTAAGAGAGGAAAAAGGTGGTGAGGCCTGGACTAGCAGGGTGTGTAGGGCCATTGCAAAGAGTCAGCCAAGGCAAGAAGCAAGGACAATCGAGAG